TAGGATAAAGAATTAAATGTACCGTAAAATTTTAAATATCTCTACGTTATCTCGACCTGTTTCGACCGAAATTTCTTTCGAGATAGCAAAGTATTAATCAAGATTTAAGGATTTAAAACAGAGAAAATTTAGTAAGTTTATTATTTATAAACATTTATATTAAGATCGTTCTAGTTAATTCTTATTTTTAGCTTATATCTAACGTTTTCAGCTCGATGACGTTTGCGTGTACTTCAGAAATCTTACATCATAAGGCTTCACTCTGAGAGATAAATAACTATCAAGTGATTCAGCAAACTTATAGATTTAATAATCTTCAATAATAGATCCACTCGTAAGCTAGCAGTAATAAATAATATAAGTTTCTTTACTTAAACTAATCTACTATTGTTTCTTACTTCTAGAACCTTGTGGCCTAATTATTTGCTTGACTACCGTCTAAATTATAATAGTTACACTCCAGTGATCAGTCGAGATAATGATTGTTAGTCGGTAACTATCAGCATTTGACTAATCTGTGAATAAATCTAACGTTTCTGACCGAAAAGTGATTAATTTAATCTCGAAACTTATCGAGTAACTTCGAGTTTTAAGCATAGAAAGAACACTTTAAACAGGTGAAAAACATAAACAAATATGTCGACATATTCGATTTATAATTAAATAAATTATATGAATATAAATATTTGGAGTAACAGTTACACAACGGTAATTGATAACGAAACGATCGAAGATTACGAAGGACACCTGAAATGTATGTGAAGCGTAACGATCTTGATCGATCGATCCTGCCTCAAAAACAAGAATTTCTTCATAAATTTTGCTTATAATAAATAAAATTAATTTTGTTTTATTCCGGATATGTCGTCTCGAGAATATAAAATTCTTATAAAGTTTAAGATCAATATTAAAAACATTGATTTCATTTGACATTTACAAGTCAAATATTTTATTTATTTATACTTAGAGGGCTATATGTATAGGGTTTTGCTTAAGGCCCATATTTATACGTCCGATGTCAAGGCCTCAGACTTGTATGAATATGTGCTCGTATATTCGTCTACAGTAAATTGTGGATCACACGACAGTAGATTGCGTGGAGGAAGTTACCCAGGATTGTGGTCAGAAAGGCTCATTTTGCTGCAGTTGACCGGAAACTGAGAGGTGGAGGATTATTCGATATTTAATATTATATTATCGGGTATCAAGTACCGCGCGATACGGATTTGATATTTTATAAACTTATATATAAAAGTGGTGTTAAAAGTCTTCGCTTGTCTGGAACCACGCACAAATTAATACTTCAATTAAGAACAGTTTTCCATGGTTAGTGTTCCGGGAAGCAACCTCTTGGACACATCGCCCAAATATTGCATTGCCACATTCTATCAGTTCAACATCCTGGAAATTTCTATTAGGGTATTTAAGTTGTAAATAAATTAATAACAATGGCAAAGAATTAAAAGATTGTGTAAAGTAAAAGTTACTTCTACGAGCATCTGAATTATCTTTATACATTCTAAATGTTGTCCAAGGAGGAGAAGGGAAAGAGTGATCTAAGAATCGAGAAAGAAGAGTCGAGAAGATAAAAGAGAATGAACTGGTCGAAGGATAGATCTAGATATATGGACACGAAGAAATATATTGTCTTACTACATTTTTTTTCTTTCTTGTTTTTACTAAAAGACTTTAATTACATGTACAATTTAACGGGAAGAGAGAAATCGCGTAAATACATTATTGTACAAGATGAGGAGGAGTGGTCTATGCGATTGTCTCGCATTGTCTATGCGAGATTTTCAGGTATTAGCATCCTGCCAATTTGTTTCAATAAATGAAAAAATGAATAAACGGAATTTTATTGTACAAATTCGTACAATAAAATCCTGTATTTTACATATGATTTTTAATCAAATATTCTTTTTGTTGAATTTTATAAAGACAAGTCTATTGTGTTTTTATAAATTATCAGTTTACAGAACCAGTTCAGTTATTACAAATTTTATTACACTGCGTAAACATCTACTTACGTAACTTTTTTATTAAGTCCAGTAATTACGATGAGTTTAGCCCCGCTTAGTATACATAAAGGTCATTATTATAACTTATCGTACTTCAGTAGGAATACATAACAAAGTGGCTGAAACTTGTGGTTTCATTAACAGTTACTCATTCGATGTTGTAATCAGTAACCAATATTCTTTATCATTTCTATGACGAAGCTCAGTGCATTCAACGATAATTCATAACATAATAAAGTCATGAATAAAAACGATAAATGCTTATATATTTCAAACATTTCATCATCTAATCGTAACAGTGTTTTAATCAGTGCGTGTTGTTTGAATCATTCTAATGATTCATAATTATGTAAGTCATTCTTTGTATAGAAAATAAAATAATTCCATAATATACGACTAAAAATAAATTTATACGCTTATTTATTTTGTTAAAATTTTAACTTCAAATAGTTTTCGGAATTTTGAGAAATAGAAGTTTAAAAAAAGAAACGTCGACAGCTAATGACCACAATTTTTATTTATTATGAATTCAGTTTACAGAACGTTTAATATAGTATTTAAAAAGATTTTGTTTGTAAAAAACTCTTTAATGTTTAAAAATAAATTATTATTTATTTATAAACTCTTTTCATCTCTCTGTGCATTTGGAAGTTTTTTCCTTGCATGGACAGGCCCGCCTGTCTGCCCTGTTGATATTAAGAGAGACTATTTCGCAAACCTGTTATGGGTTCGGTCGGGTCTACAATGGGACGGTCGGGTGGTGAGGGACGGAATCACAAATTCAACCATGAAGAATTTCGCTTCACTCTCGATGCCGAGTGACGCCTTTACCACTTTGCCCATTCGACTGTAATTATCTATTGATACTACATTTTCGATATATCCAATTGAAGTAGACCAGAAATGCTTAATTTAACTATATTTAGTATCGTTCAATGGAAAAGTAATAAGAAACATCGTTCGAGACTTTATAAGTTTATATTTTAGTCTTTATCGTATCATTTTTATAAATTTATTATTGATTTTATTATGTATCTATATAAGTAAGGCATATTCGTATTAAAGGAATTCGAACATTGTATGATAGAAAACAAGTAATAATGGTGATAGCATTATTTGTATTGTGTTAACCAAAAAATGTATCTTTGTTTAAATTCATTGTCTGATTAAGAAATTTATCCGAAATGTAAGAAAAATCGGAACGAAATTAGAACAACTCAGCTCAACTTTTCTCGCAACATAACAGATGGCCCTCAGTACGTTTCATTTAACAACATAATCGATACTATGTGTAAGGGATGAAGTTATATTTTAACTCTTTTCCTTTAAATTGAGTTGGCTAGAAATTAAGAGTTTGATGCCTTATCCGAAAGTGTTCGCATCCAGACGTTACATTGTTTTCATATTTAAGAGACGAAGCGCCCTTTTCTCTGACAAAAAAGAAAGAAAAAAAAATATTGTTATTGAGTCGGAGATAAACGAGTCATTTAATTTCTTATCCAAAAGTATTCTGGGATCAGATTCTTTTTCATTATTTAAATGATCTGTCTCAGGATGGAAATCGTTAGGCCCTATAGCACTGAATATTCTTCCTTACAGATAGGCCTATTTTTCATCCAGAAAAAAATTTTATTCCCCAAATAGAGAATAATTTAAATAACAGAATACACAGTTTAGAACAGGGATTTTCATATTTAGTCACCAAGAAAATTTCGTTCGGCCACCAGACAGATCAATTCTGCACGATTCTTCAATCCCGAGAACCAATTCTGTAACTACTAACAAGCAAATAGCATTGAAATGTCAGTCATTTTGGACAGTTGTCAATTAAAGTTCGAACATGTTGGATAATAAATTCCTAGATGTGGATGCCAGTCCAGCGGGCAAGATTTTTAAAAAAAGTAGTTTTCATTTTTACAATCTTCTTAATAGAGTCTTCTGCAATTAATGGTAAGCTCCTTAATGTTTTGCTGTTCGGAGCTTTTTTAAAACTCTTTCCGCCCTGTGGGCACTAAGAGGGCCTCGTTTAAGCAATCCCGTTATGGGTTTTGGCAGGCCCACAATGATGCGGCCGGTGGTGAGGGACGGGGCCCGACATATCCGGTCAGATCACCTTCCGAAAAATTCCTGGGGAATAGTCGCCCTGTTCGGATTTTAACCCGGGTCCACCTTGACCGCTCGGCCATCCGGCAGCAGTGCCGGCCCGAGGCGAATTTCAGGATGGAGCGAGATCCTATTATGGCGCCCCCCTTGGTTGATCCTAATTTATACCCTTTAATTTTCTTTACCACTGAGGCACCCTAGGACTTAGCGCCTGGAGCGGCTGCTCTGTTCGCCCAATGGTAGGGCCGGCTCTGTCCGGCAGTCTCGCTTTTTTGATTGGGAGGATGTTCGTGTTAGAAGATTTATTTGTTTAAAAAATCAACTTTCTCCGTACATTTTATCAAATACGAAAATATTATAATTATATTTAAAGAGAAAGCAACGCTTGAATATACAGATAAGTACAGTACGTATCATAAAACGCCACAATGTCGGATTTTTTTGATGTTGCGAACATTATTCTCATTGGTTAGTTTGAATAGTTTGAATTAAATCTGTACAATATAGATTTCCGATTGGTTAAACGCCGATTTGGAAGATATTTCGATAAAATTCAAATAATATTTCAAACAATACCAATATTAATACATAGTAACACTTCAGATTAAAAAATTGACAAATAATTTCGTAATTTGATGCCAGTTTCTCGTAACGATATTTTTGCTTAATATTATTTTCGTAAGAAATTTCCCTAAATTATATACAGTATATACATATATTTCGTTTTAAAAAATAATAATTATAAATAATAAAGATAATTTTTTTTTATATTTTTTTTTAAATAGTTTTTTTCAAAAGAAAAATGTACAGTAATACAAACTTTGAAATATAAAATTATCGATTACATAAAAATTGAATAATAATTGAATTACAGTTTATCCGCAAGGGGTCAGTGTACAGTCGGCGAATATGAAGAAGTATTCGTTGTAAAGAGGAGGAAGAGCGATGGAGAGGATATTTGATCAGAAACGTCAAAATATAAATATGTCGAGCGAAAGTTTAAGGAAAAGATATCCGTTGCATTGGCTCGTTTGGTATAACGATTACAGTAATTTAGATACGGAACTGCAGAAAAATGAAGTGAGTTTCTTCCATTTTCTATCTGTATTATGTTTATGTTTAGTAAATTAAACTCCGATAAGGATTTAGATTCGATTCTTATGTTTTGATTTAGCATATTTATGCATATTTGGCGAAAAATTGGACTTTTACGTGGGTGACTCATCGGGATCTTTATAATCGAATTATTCTCTTCCCAGCATTAAACTATATGCAATATAATTTGGTATAGATTGATAAATATAATGTTTTCTTTTTAAATTAAACTTTCTAAAGACAGAAATATTCCATTAGAAACTTTATCAAATCTATCAGGAAATTGGTTTCCACTTTCATATATTTTAATAACATAAAAAACTGTAAAAACAAAGCTGTGTGTTGGTTTTCCTCATAAGTTAGTGTTTACAATTATTTTTTCTTTCCCTTCGTTCTCCGTTAGATGGGTTCGACCTATAGTAAATGTGATTGTGATTAGCGAAATAGCCAATAGTACGCTCGTACCTCCCGCAAACAAATAGATTTGTACTCCCAACGACGATTTCCGTCGGTGGGAAGTTTTTGACTTTGGGAATGGCTGTAATCTTGGGGATGGATCTACGTGGGGACCGATAGGACTTGGGTCCCGGGCCCGAGTGTCAATTGTTCACAGAAAATTGAATTATCGTCATAAATTTTAAATTATTTTTGCTAACGACGAGCACTTGTCGTACGGTAAAAAATAGTTAATATTAATAATATAATAATAATGATAATTTATAGTATTATTTGTTTTATTGTAATAATTCTTAATCTAACAAAAAATGATGCCCTGTTGGACTTCGACGAGTCTTAGACCCCGAAAAACCTAGATCCGTCCCTGCGTAATCGTTATAGTTTGTGGTGTTGTATAGCTTATTATTATTATGAATAAGCTGTATAAGGATATGTCGTGGTAGATGTATGTACAAAACTTTTAAATAACAAAGCAAACTTATCTCTATTGTAATTTTATCATTATCAAATTGAATTAGAGCATAAATTTTTCGGTTCTGTTTAATCTAGTTGCACAAATAAATTATCCTGAATCGGACTTGAGTTGCTTTAGATTAAACTATTTAAAAACAAGTTTTATATTTATAGTTGGTTCAAATCGTATACTAAATGCATCAAATTCTATTTAATGTTTCCCAGAAAAACATTTTGGATTTATATCTGAATTTTTTATATTTACTAGAATCAGAAACTTTGGAAGAATTATGTAAATTGAAAATTCGTATGTTTTGATGCTATTTTGATTTTTGACTTTTTGAAATTTTAAAATTAGTCATTTTGACCTCTAAAGGTCATTTTGGTCATAATTTTAAAATTTCAAATGTTTAGCCATATCTTGACATATAGAGGAATTTTTTAGTACTGTTTAATTCAATGGTGCAATCAGATCATTTATATGTTATACTATGAAGTAAAAAAAAAAAAAAAAACAAAAGTTATCTACTAGAATATATCAAAAGTCCAAGTAATAAAATGTAAGTCCTTTGGAATTAGCACAAAGTTGTTCTTGAGAACAAATCACACAGGAATGCTCCTTTCTGATGGAAAAAATAGGTATATTTCATATAATTTAGAAAGGATATGCATTTTGAGCTTTATGCTTCTCTTTGGTCCTTATTTTATTAAATATATCAGAAAAAATCTAAAAATCATTATAGTGAGTGTCTTGAAGCAACTCAACTTAATCAATATGATTACATTGTTGGTAAGTAAAACTGTAAAAATGAATATATTTTCGTTAAAAGTATAAAAAATTTGACTAATAAAGGTAGTAAAATATAAAAACTTTAAAACTAATTAAAACTGGCCAAAAATAAGGTGTAAAAGCCTATTCTGTAAAAGTTTTCTTTAGAATGAGTAGATACTGTAGAGAAACATTTGGAAAATTAGGGAATGAAAATAAAATATTATATTCAAATTCTTTACTTAAAATCAAATATAAATACTATTTCAGAGATTTATTCACTATCTCTGTTTTTGAATAAGAATAATCATTACACAAAATGAATAACTTGCAAATTCAGGATTTTATTTAGCCATGAATAATAGTGATTATTCTAAAAATAAATTTTACGAACCTAATAGATATGATTTTTCTGATATAACTTCTAAATAACTAATTTAATTTTAAATATGATTGTACTGTTAAATTTAGCATTAAAAAATCCTTTGAAATAACATATGATGAGATATAATTTTAAAATTTCAAATGATAACCCATAACTCTCCTCCTTTAAAAAGGTCAAAAGGTCAGACTATCAAAAATACTGCAGTTTTTAGATATACAGTAAAATTTCTCTAACTCAAATGTCAGTAACTTGAATATTTCTTTAGCTATAAGAAAATGAAGTACTCAATAAGTCTCAATGGAATAGCACAGTCCAACTTGAATTTCCTTAACTCTAATTTTTTCCAAGTCAAAGGTTTTTGTGATTCCCTGACACTGATTTATGTTACTTTCAACTTCCCAGACTTGAATTTTAATATTTATTCTATCCAAAGTGATCCTAATTATCAAATTTCTGTGAAATTTTCAGACAGTTACTTATATCTACTGTCCAACATCCATTTGCAGACATTTCAGTCCAAAATGAGAGAACCTCTCCCTTTCTCAACTAGATGTACCTGCAAAACTTGTCTGATTCCATTAGTTACATTGAATAGTTTGCTGAAAGGTGTTACATGAGCTATTTAAAACAAAAAAACTTTCAAAGTTTTTTTTATAATGCAAGAGAGGTAAAAATACAAATCTATTCAGAATTAGCATTTTTCACTATTGTACTCTAATTGTCTGTAATGCAAAGTTTTTTCCTATCCCTGGGAGCTTTGAGTTAAAGATGTTTTACTATACTAGATTCTAAACTTTTAAAATTTCTATATCAAATGGGACCAAAAATATAAGTCTGGGATGGTCTTTTTCAGACATAAAAAAGTGTATATGCAAAGATTAGATACCCATTGTATTTTCTTATGTATAATGAGTTATCTGTTTTTAAGACTATTTGAGAGAGGGTGCTGGTTACGCAATAGCATAAATGTATGCCAATTGTGATTATGGAACAATAGCTGCTCCCATAGGCACAAGATGTACAATGGTGCAAGCTGTGCAATGATTTTATTTTTGTTTTAGTAATTTTCTCTGTCATTGACAGAGAAAATTACTAAATTCAATTCTCTGTCATTGTGAGTTATTACACATGAAAATATAGTAATTAATTTTTATATTCAGATTATAAACAAACTTATTTCACATCAAAACAAATTAATATAGAAATTTAATATTTAATCATCTATCTTAATTTAAAAAAAAATTCCTACATTCTATAATTGTTTATATAAATTTGAAGTTGTTAAGATTTTTATATATGTTATAGTAATAATAATTAATGACTATAATAATATCAATGATCCAATTCAAACTTCCCTTCTCAGGAAAAAAACTTTTTGGAAAACTTTTGCATTTTCATGTTTTGTATTCATTACCAGAAATAAAGATCAAAAGATGCTAGATTACATTACTTTAGTTTGCTTGCTAATTCCTGATAGTTGGTTGATTTATGCAAAACAATTGGAATTTTCAAATTTTTTATTCCATGAAAAACAATTTAAATTGGTTTTTCTTTTCTTTTTTACTTTACAACTGGGTACATAGGTAGACACTGGGCATCTTTAATATCACTCTTTATTCAGGAATATCTTACACACCAATATGCATTTTGGGCATATGCCGCTCTTCCATTGGCCCATATGCCCAAAACATGTATCAGTGTAAAGAGTGATGTTAAAGATGTCCAGTATCTACCTATGCTCCAGTTGTGAAGTAAAAAAATTAAAAGAAGACATGGTTTCAGAATAAGTCAAGTTTAAATTGGATTAACATTTGAGGAGCTTCCTTAACAAATATCAATAATTCCATCAGTTGTTTTAAGTGTAGATAAATTATTTTGTAAATAATAACAATTATAATATTTGATATGTTCAGACATTTATGACATCATTAAAACAATCAGTCAAAATTAAAAGCACTAAAATATTTTAAAATATTCAGAGACCTAAGATAAAATATTAAAGTGCTTTTATTTTTGACTAATGTTAAATTATATATTATAAGTTATATATAATACTGTACCAGTCCAAATATATGGCTTCTAGAAAACTGGCTATTTTTGAATTTGACAGACTAATAAGTTGTAGTTTGTCTTTCAGTCACTTTGTTTTGGTTTCCATGGCATATGCATCACACAATTCCAGTTCCAGTGTGACTGTTGTTGTGTGCAAGTGATCTCACAGTTAAGTGTTTGTTGAAATTTATAATTTTCTTTTATAACCATGTCTAAAAGACCAGATTAATAATCATCAAACAGTACCTGCTTATAAGCAGATTAATTTGTATCTGTTAAACAATGGAAAGCATATAACAAAACTGTACTTGTTTTATATTTTAAGTTTGTACAGTATTTTTTGGACATGACAGAATTTAGCCTGTGTCCATAAAAATCCAGAAATCTGGACCACTTCCAGATATTTAGTCAAGTTGGACTGCTGGATATTTAGTCCAATATTGTATTAAAATCATATTCATGTATTATCTAAAACATATGCAAAATTATAATCATTATTAATGAATAATGCATATTGCTATTCAATTTATTGTGTTTTTTATTTTGTAGTCCTGTATAATTGACTATTATTATTATATGATTTAAAGTTGTTATTAATTTAATGTTAAAGGAAAAGATTCATTGATCAGTTTTACTCTAAATTTTTTAATGTTTTTCTTAATATAAAAAATTGAGAGTGAACAGGTCATTTTTTAAAAATTGGGATTTTCCCAAAATTGATTGATTTGCCTTCTTTTCAGTAGAATCCACTTAACGTAATCATGGAAATTTATCATAGCATTAGTTATTTAATGTTAACAGTATTAACATATCACAAAACATATTCAGTAAATTAAAATATATTTATTTTATAAATTTTAATTTACTCTA